TTCACAGACCGCACCATAACCACTAGGCCATCCGACTACCGCTGATAGCATGGCTTCAGACGGCGCTGATGAATGTTCCACAATAGTTTCAATACATGCCAAGGAGATCGTTTTATTTTTGACCGAATTCCGCATTGTTTTCAATGTACAATTCATGAGAACCTTTTGATATGACACTGGTCAACGCTGTGTGCGATGTACGTCACAACAAAGCGGTTAGAACGGCAGTTCCTTAAGAATTTTTTCTTCGCTCCTTTTTTGGTATTCAGAGGGCCGCTCAGGAAAAATGAACTACAGTTTGGTGTTCCATGCATGTGCCCCTATATCATGCAAAAAACCGTTTTGAGAAAGCTCACCATTCCTGAAAGACCTCCCTGGTAAGGTGAAGAATATAATTGTCCATCCTCTGAATACCTGATTCAGTAGGAGAAATTTGAAGCCTTCTAGTGTAGAATTTTGTGGATATTTTTTTCAAGCGGTATAAACTACAGGGCTTGGAAAATTTTTGGTAAGCTTGACAAATTCACTTGAAGCACGAAGAGTAAAAAAATTGCTCTAATGTTGAATTTAGCGGGAGGACGGAATAACTTAAACTTTTCTCCTCTAAACGGAAGGAAGAACGGTGAAGAGGCCCTGCATATTAACACGTTGACGACCGCCGTTGTGCGCGTACTGCTTCAACATTTTTCGTATTCTCTCATCAATAGGCATTAATCCTTCAGCGTTTTCATTATCAGTAATGAAAAAATTGTTTTTCGGATCCAATAATGTACATGGACCGTTGTGGAACAGGAAAAAACGCCAAATAAATTAAGGAAAACTAGTCTGCTTCATGTGAAAGTGTGGTATGACATCATACCACACGGTCGCCAACGTGTTAATCGACACCTCCCCTACAAGTATTTTGTCGCATTATGAGATCAATCTTTTCCCTTCTGCGAAGAAGAGATTCCAGACCAAGCATTTTGTTCCTGACAACAGCCCTGGGTATGACATTGTAGTTGAAACCTAAAGAACGGACCAGAACCTTCCTAGTAAAGCTGTTCTTGAACAGACTCTAACCTGGAGATGGTCTTCTTCTTGTGGGGAAAGAAAATCATCGAGTCATACTCCAGAACAGAATGGATAGATAACTTATAAGCTTTGATGAGAATACACGAATGTAGTAAGTGGGACTGCTGCCCGCTACTATACTGTCACGAGAATCGGGGAATTCGTGAGCCAGGGGGAGTGTAGCCAATCTAGGGGGGGGGGGGGGGTGAGGGCAGTCACTTGACATGCGTGAAAAGCTGGGCGTGCCCACCCCACTTGTATAGAGCCCGCTCATTTTTTTTATATCGTATTCCTATTTAGATTCGAAATTATTGATAATCTTTTTAGATGCCATGCGCCAGTTCGGTTTCTGGTTGTGCCTGCTCCAGTGGTTATAGCTCATGTGGTGGTGGGATGTGCTGCCGTGGCTAAAAAGCTATTATGGATCGACCATAAGGTGAACAAAACTCATGGGAAGTGTTATTCTTATTTGGCGTTTGGTGCTCATATTTATGAATTTGGATAAAGTAAAATTCAATACCAAGAATTTGGTGTAGTAAGCAATCCCATAGAATACATGTGATGTCTGGTTATTCATAAGCTAATAAAGGAATCTTCTGGGTCAAGTTCCTATAATGTCTCGAAGGCAGATTTTACGATGAAATTGCCGCACATTGAAAGTATAGGAGAGGTGGTCAAAGGTGCCGTGGTGAAAAAAAAAACAGGAAGACGGTCTATAACTCGAAAAATGGAACCCCTATCATGTCTCATCCAGTAAGGGGGGGGGGGGAGGGCATGCGCTGCGACAGTTGCTGCCGGCTATAGAAAATCCATGTTTGTTTGAAAATCCCTGGGTGTGTGAACTACTTCGTTTCCGCCTACTCCCACACTAAAGCTTCGTTACCTTGCGAAAAATTGGATTACTTTGGACGAAATGAACTGTCGCTGCACATCAGCGCATACCTGCCCCCTTACCGGATGAGACTCCCCCACCCCATCTTTGCCAGTTGTTTTCTACTTCGGACGACCTGGCGACCGAAACGAGCGCGTTTGTACTTGACAGTTTCGGTGAGCGATATCATGCCAACAACTGTTATACTTTGATTGTGAAGGTATTATGAAGGATTAAAAGGTAGGACCGCTTGAAATGAAATCTCCTACCGAAATGAACCAAAGGATGGCGATAATATAACATGCTATTACTCGTCTGTTGGTGGGTGTGGCGCGTCGCGAGCGTTGCCGATGCGCTCCTGCTGAGCCGCAAGGAAACCCTTCGCTGAGACGTGCGTCGTCCCGCACCCTTCCCGCCTGTCTTTCCACTAGGTATACTTCCATTTCTTCGACCCCCAACTCACCGTGACTTCTCAATTCTAAGAGTATTTCACGATAGGGTCGGGTGCCGAAGAAGGGGAAATGCACCTAGTGGAGAAGCAGGCGAACCCCCTAAGGCTGCGAGACGATGCGAGCTCTGCAGCGAAGTGTGTGCCCCCATGTGCCCCACAGTCCTAGCAGGGCAGTACCCGCGCCGCTCGCGCCACTGGACTCCCACCGATTGGCCGACCCCTCGTCGTCTGACTCTGGCCGCTTAAGCGGGACAGCGCTAGCGTTCATGAGATGATCACAGGTGAGACACGCCCAACGCGCAAACCAACGCGCAAAAGGTCCCGTTTCTTGGGTTTCAGGCCATTTATCTTGTTTTTTTCTTCTTTGTCCT